TTCACACTGTTCGATTCTCGTACGATCGCGGGATTTCCCACGATTCTCGTACGAGAATCGAGCAGTGTATGGGCACCTTAAGACATGATGTGGGGCTTAATATCAAATTTTATTAGAGAATGTGGAATGGGAAATTGGTGCTTCGGTGCAATAATATATCGAATGCGGTGCTTGGTGCACTTTTAAAAAGAAAAATTAAAAAAAGCAAAAAAAGAAAACGGGAACACCTGCGACACGGAAGGGGGAACAGCAATGAGGCAGCAGAAGAACTAGCTGCTAAAAAAAGAAGTAACAATAATAAAAGAAAATGACAATTTATTTTTTTAAATGGGAACACCGGTGACGCAGAAGAAACACCAGTGATGCCACTGACACAAACAAAAAAAGACAGCGAATATGCAGCACAGAAAATGATACTATATACAGTACAGAGTACTGTATATACCATTAAATGCTGTATAAAGCATTGACACTTCACTACACTGACACCAGTTAGCTTTCACTACACTACCCTATACTAACAGAAACAGGGGCGTCCCGAGGCCAGGTGTCACCCGGAGCGGAGAAGGGGTGACACCGCGCCGTGACGTCATCGTGCATGCGCGATCATCTTAGTGACGGCTGCCTTCTTGGTGATGGACGTCGGCAGAGAGAGGAGGGGGCGTTCAGTGGGATGGAGGTGTGGTCCCCTTCTCTCCTGACACTGTCGGGCTCTTGGTCCATGACCGAGTGCCCGACTTTTCATAGGGGTAACACCAAAATGACTGCCAGTAATTTTGGTGTCACCCCTCCAATGTTGGCACCCGGGTGCGGGCCACCCCCCGCACCCCCATTGTGACGCCACTCAACAGAAACACTCTTTAACTCCAGCAACACATTACATAAGGCTGCCATGTATGCAGCCTTAAGGTGCCCACACACCTTGCGATAACCGTACGATAATCGTGGGAAATCCCGCGATCGTACGATTATCGCAAGGTGTGTGGAAGGCTTACAGTAGTAGAGGTCGCACGACTTTTATCTTGGGAACATGTTCGAAAACCCGCTGAGAATCGTACGATTTTCAGCGGTTGTGTAGCATGTTCGTAAGATAAAAGCCAGACGGGCCAGTGTGTGTACAAGCGCAAACTGCCCGTTCGGCATTGCGGTCAGCGGAAGCCCGCCCCTCAGCGGGGCGGGCTTGCGATCATCGCAAGTACGAACTGCCTGTCCAAGATAGGCAGATCGTACGTTTTTTAAATTACCTTACAACCATTGCAAGACAAAGGTCTTGCGATGGTTGTAAGGTGTGTGCCCAGCATTATATAGTGTTGGGCTGGGACTTAGCTGTGAGCCATGACTGGGCAAAGTCATCATTACTTTGCCCAAGTATGGCTCAAACAGAGCCCTGTGCCCTGATTGGGAAAAGTCTTGCACCTGACCTGTGGTCAGGTGCATTGTTTTACCCAATCAGGGCTCTCCAATACACACAGTGCATTACGGGGTGCTCGGCGGGCAAACAGCCAGCTGAATGCCCTGACAGTTCGTGTGTTTGGCGAACAAACAAACTGAATATGTTGAAGCCCATGCCTAGTGCTGCCATGGACACCTGAATTTTTATCTTCTGTATGCTCCAACACGTGCAGCAGCAAAGGAAAAAGCTCAATGAGTATAAACAACTGCATGGCAATACATCTGGTTGTTTGGATTTGGGCTATTTATTCTTCCCACTCAATGACCGCTCACCAAGGAGATCTGTTCAATAACTGGTCCCTTCTAAGTTAACCCTTTTGTAATCGCAATACAACATTATGAATCCAAATGTAAAATACTTTTATCATGAGAGCGTTAAATAACCTTGCAGCAGAGAAGTAGGAATATGCAGCTCTATGTGCTCCTAGTCTCAGAACCGCTGCCAGTCAGACAAGTTAGTCATAGGGTTATTGTCAAGTTAACTGGTCCAAACATCAAAGCTTAAAAAAGACTCCTGCCACTAAAGGGTTAATTATGTAACTCTTCTAATTTATATGTTAGAAAAACACTTGCAAACCTCATGCAGTAGAGTGAGAAAGCAAACCTGTAGCTAATGACTCTATATAATCTTGCTGCAAAGGGCTGATACAGGCAGGAAGCTATGCAAGGGAATAGCAATGGTGAGCAGAGGAGCATTTTACATCATCCTACCTGGTAGGAAATTGAGGATGAGTGGATCATTGTGCAGATCAAGTAGCTTGGAAATGAGGCTTGTACAAGTGGCAATGTTGATAACAATCTTTGCTGCTGATGCCCTAAAACGTCACACCTACCAGATCAGATGCCTCGTAAGGCATGGTAGCAGGGGCAGACTGACAACACATGGGGCCCCCGGGCAATACAATATTATGGGGGCCCCTTGTGCTCCACCCATATACAAGCCCCATCCACAGCCGATGGGCTGCTGTACGGGCTATTCACAATATTCACAATAGCCCGTGCAGCATCCGAAGGCAGCTGAGCGGCTCAGCCAAGCCGAACCCATAGACTTCAGCTTGGCTGAGTCATATTCACAGCCGAAGCAGGGAGAAAGATCAGCCAAAGCCGACCGATCTCCACGCAGATGACAGCTGGGCGGGGCTAGCCGTGATCTCACGGCTGGCTCCGCCCAGTTGTAATAAGGGATCATGATCCCCAAATGACCTGGGGATGCTGATCTGTCATTTAACAACAACTGGGCGGAGCCGCCTGTGCCATCACAACCGACTCCACCCAGTTGTTATTTATTGGCCGGGACCTACTAGAAGACTCTGGCAGGTGCCGACCAATAGGAAACAGGATGTGCGTTGTGTTTTTTTTTTTTTATTCCAATTTTTCTTTTACATTTTTTAAACAATTTTTCTACATTTTTTTTTTTCCCCCATTCATTTAACTTTTTTTCTATTGTGCTCGCTACCACGGAGGTAACGAGCAGAATAGCCAAGCTGAATGCCACTCGTGGCATTTGGCTATTTACTTACTGCCGTTTGGCCCCTATGAGAAAAGGGGCGAATGGGAGTGAGTGAGCTGCCGGAGCTTCGGCTCAGCCGATCCAGATGTTGGATCGACTAAGTCGAACTTCTTCTGCACTACGGCTCAGCATCAGGGCTCCTAATCCCCAGGTTCCAGTCAGGGTTTTTGTAGCACTCCTCCAGTGGAGCAGTAGAAAGGTATCATGGCACACTCACAAACCAGCATGTAAAACAACTTGTCTCACCACTAAGGTTAATAACAGAGGTTTGGATACACGTCTTCTGCAGAAAATGTGAAAGCTGCACAGCCGCGCCAAGGCACCTCTTATAGTGCGGTCCTAACTCTAAACTATGAGAGTCTCCATCTTGGAGCACATGGGGGCAGAAGATTTCAAATTGGGTGCAGGTTTGTCAGGAGAAACCTCTGTTATTAACCTCAGTGGTGAGACAAGTTGTTTTACATGCTGGTTTGTGAGTGTGCCATGATGCCTTTCTACTGTTTTACTGTTCAAAGCCCATTTCGTGTGCACCTTACTATATAACTGGTGACAAATTGTTGCGTTTGTCGTTTGTTTTGCTCCTCCAGTGGAGGGCCCAGGGCCGGATCTCAGTGGTGACCCCCCAGCATGAGGCTCTCGTGCCTCCGTCCCTCTGTCCACCCTCCGTCCACTGCGACACGCCCCCACCTCGGAGCTCTTCTTGGCCGTGCAGCTGTAGGAGATGCAGCTCTGTTAAAGCGGCAAAGGCAGTGTATAACGGGCCCGGGAGGCGGGCAACACTGCCGTCGCCGCTTTAACAAACCCGCATCCTCTTCCATGCAGGCTAAAAAGGGCCCCCTCTTTGGCCACGGGCCCTCGGGCAGTGCATGACTGCCCGTATGGTCAGTCCGCCCCTGCATGGTAGTCTACATGCTTGCATGTTTGCAGAGTAACAAAGTAAAATGGTTGTCTTTTTGGTGGCCTTTAAATAGTAGTTACCTTTTAAGCTCAAATCTCCCTGACTTCCATCTTCCACCCTCTATTTCAACCTTTTCTTTGTTAATTTTAAAATACAGCAACAGCACACACACACACACTTTACAGTCACATTTTGTCGTTTAGTTGATTTACACAGTCGATATTTGCCCAGTGGAAAGACGTTTATGTCCTTGTTGTATGATTTGTCTGTAGAGCACTTCTGATTGACTCACTCATTTGTAACAGTGCTAGATTTACATAGGAAATGTCACAGAATTGGCTTTTTTGCACCTCTAATATCTGTTTCATGTGGACAGTTTTTAAAACATCACGGAGACCTATCATTTAGTAGCTTTTGTTATACTACCCATCAGTGATGTAACTATACTTTACGCCGCCTGAGGCCAGGATGTAGGCAGGGGAGGGGCTGTGTTGGTGGTGCTCGTTATTGGGGGGCAGGGGTGGTACCTCTGGCTCTGTCCTGCCTGCTAAAATCACTGACGTCACTGGTTACAAGGAGCTAGGCGGGACTGCAGCAAAAGTGTTCTGCTCAGTTCCTGGCAACCAGTGAAGTCAGTGAGCTGGGCAGGACGCCAGACAGAGTGCCACAGGTTGCTAACAAATCATGGCAACTTTGGAAGTTCTGGCCGGAAAGGGGGCTGCCTCAGGCTGCCTTATTATAGGGACGGCTCTGCTCCCTATCACTTTTATTAAGAGATCATCATTTAATAATATATTTTTCTGAACATAATGTATAACATTTAAAACCCTGGTTTATGTGATGCACCTTGATTAAAAATCTCTATCTGTTTTTGAGTCAGGTAAATCTTAGATTGTGGACCGCTTACTTGCCTATACATTTGGCAATGCAAGTATTTTTTTTTTTCTTTATATTGTTGTACATCCACATAGGATTGCTTGTTGTCTTTCTCCCCAGTACTCCGTTGTACATATTGTTACATACTTTAACTGTTTAATTCATAATAAAAAGAAAGTTACAAAAAAATCGTTAAATTGTACCATGGGGGTCCCATGTTATTTCCTAACAAAGTAACTATATTTATCAGTATATTTCTTTTAGGTAACTTTCAGCAGCATACGATATCATGAAGTGATTTTGCGCTGGAAGTGGCAAAATAAGGTAAAGTCACCACAAACTGCTTATTGACCTGTTTCTCTACCACCTGCATAATGAGGGGAATAGAAAAAAACAAGATGCTGCTAGAACTGGGTATACCTCTCAACTTTCTGAGATGAGGAAGAGTGACACCTTCCAGCATAATGTATTTTGTAGGGATGCACCGATACCGGTTTTTCGGAAGCCGGCTCTATGCTGTTTGGCTGGCTTGATGCTGATTGGCTGGGAAGCCGACTTTACGACCAATCAGCATGGAGCCGGCTTCCCGAGCCAATCAGGAAGCCGGTCGGTGAGTCATTACCCACCACCCGACTTCCTTATTGCCCGGGAAGTCGGCTCCATGTTCAACCGCAGCACTGCCGGTCGGGGGAAATCTCCCTCTGACCGGAAGTACCGGTATCAGGGAAGGTATCTGAGCATTTGGGCGAGTAAGAGTGCGAGCCAGCTTTGGCTTTCACCTCGGTTCAATCGAGCCGAAGCATATGCCTTCGGCTCAACAGAGCCGCTAGGCCAACTTTTACAGCTGTAGGGCTATAGTGAATAGCCCGTACAGCAGCCCTTCGGTTCTACTGAACCGAAGAGGTCCTGAGGCCGAAGCTAGTCGAAGAATCAGCCGAAGCTATGGCTAGATCCTTCGGCAGCTTAGTGAATAGACCCTTATATAAAGAAAAAAGTACTAAACATTTTGAAAAAAAACCCCTGTTTTCCTTATGTTATGAAACATTTATTATTAGCAAATGTTTGGGGACAAATATAAAAGATGGGGTCATGTGGGGTAAATAGATACCAAACATGTCAAGCCTTAAAACTGTGCCTGTGTAATCGCAGAGAATTATCATACCCAAAATTGTCCTTTTACTACTCGTCAATTTAGTTTCAACAGTGATTGATGGCCCTAGAATTATTACTCGCACTCTGACGTGTGCAGTGATATGTAACGTGCAGTGCACCTGGTGCATATTTACATTTGCATGTGGGCGGGGGACTTTAAAAACATTTTTGTGGGGTTTTTAATTTTTTTAAACTTTTTTTACACATAACTTTATTGCTATCACATAGCTATAACAAGCCCCCTATGTGATAGCAAATATACAGTGACAGGTCCTCTTTATGAAGACATCAGGGGTCTATAAACCCCTAATGTCACCTAGACACCCCCCAAAGAAGCGGAATTCTGCTACAGCAGCCAGAGAAATGACAAGCTGAAAGAGGAAGTGATGTAATACACATCACTTCCATATACAGAGATTGGAGGGGACATCAGCAGGTAGAAGTGTGCTGATCTTCCTCCGATCTCAGTGCAGAGAGCCGCTGCAGGGGACAGCGTAGCGCAGGATAGCCGGCAGCAGCAGCAAGGGGGGACACAAAATCCTATGAGGCAAGTGAATGGGGCGGCTCTTTGACTTGGTGCAGTAACTGAAGTTTTCAGCTGCCTTGTGTCTGGACTAGTGTAAATCGATGGGGGAGCCCTCAGCAGTCCCGGCCAACAAGAAAGATGGTGCTCGTAGTGATAACCACGGATGGCGCCGTGCAAACACAGAACAAAAAAGCAGATCACCAGCACTCAGTAATAAAGTTGAATATGTCCCTTTTAATTGGACAAAGACGTCACAGTGATCAGAGAAGCCGACGTTTCGGAACCGTGCAGGGTCCCTTCCTCAAGGCAGAAAGACGTGACCACGTCTAAAGGGACATATTCAACTTTATTACTGAGTGCTGGTGATTTGCTTTTTTGTTCTTTTTTTTTTTTTGGACTTTTTTTTTGGGGAGCAGGGATGAGTCAGCGGCGCGCTGATCAGGCGAGAGGAGCTCCAGGTGGGGTTGTAATTAATGCTTGCCATATCAGGTATTGCATTAACATTTGGAGGTTCTTATCTGCTAAAGAAACATCTGCCTCATTTGGTTAAGAAGGAAAGTTTCACACAACTGGCTACACACTTATCTAGGGTGGGAGACTTTTCTCTCTCATCATTTGGCTTCACAAAAAGTACATTGTGAACTTATCTGCGAACTTATCTGCATAAAGGAAGGACCACTTCCAGCAAAAAAGCAAAGAAAGCCATATTGGAACTTATAAATAAGAATGTGTTTGTTTTTTATTATGTGATGATACTGTCACATTTCAGTTGTATTGTATTACATGTTATAGAACAATACGTTTAATACTTATTACGGTCAATTAAATAAACTGCTTGAGGTATTTTAAAGGACCCCACTACTAAAAAAACGGTGTAGGATGCCATCGTTAACCTCATTGAACCTCATAAGTCTTCACAGTTAATGACCAGTAGAAGGCAGTGGTATGTTAACATGTGAAAATCACTGCTTTAATCTTAAAGGGTTATTAAACCCTCACTTGTTTTTTTGCATATATCTACTGCTAGCAAGCAGTAAATATATGCAAAATTATGAAAAATAATGTTTTAAAAACTTTATCAAAGGGTTCATACTTACCTGTGTCTCCGCCGCGCGCTCCCATCCGAAAATTTCTTGGGCGGCCGCAAAGGATCTTGAGGCAGGCACATGCACAGTTCAGATGTTCGGCCAGGAGACAAGGTCTCTCCTCGTGCAGCGTGCACCTGCACAGACTCCGTTAAAAGAGCGGGCTCCATGCGACCTCGTCACCAGACCAATCAGGCCAATCAGGAAACTGGGGGGGGGGTTAATGACTCGCTGCCCGGCTTCCTGATTGGCCAGCTTCCCAACCAATCAGGAAGCTGGGTGGGGAGACATTACATTCCCCCTGATTTCCTGATTGGCCGTGAAGCTGGCATCATACTCCCCGGTGACAAGCCGGGCGGCGTGTAATGACTAGTGATGGGCCGAACACACCTGAGTTCGGTTCGAGTTTGAACTTTAGAACATAGAAAAAGTTTGAACTCACACTTCGAACTCAATGGGGTCCCCCTAAAATTCCTAACCAGACACTTGATCTGAGCACAATCCTGGCAGGGCGGGAACAGGGGGGGGGGGGGGGGGCGGCGCCCCTCGCA